TATAATTTTGACATTTAATCCTTTGTGGGGATGTCGACAATGGCCAGTGTCTTCTTCCAGCTCCCACACCTACAGGTGGGCCTTTTGCCAACACTAAAGCAAATTAAGCATAAGATTTAAGGGGAGTAAAGGAAGTAAAATAAAACAGTAGGTAGATTGGTAAGGCAAGTTTAAAACTAATATACTGGGAAGATGAAAATACCAAAGAGAATGTTTTTAAAACCCCAATAATGAGGCCAACAGGTGGCATGGTGGTTAAGGAGGCTGGACTTCCACATGGCTGACTGTGGTTCAAGTCTCAAACCTGGCAGCTTCCTTTCTCACTTTCCTCTCTCTGTCTCTCACTGATCAACTTTTTTTAAAAATTATTTTATTTATTCATTCATTTAATTTGACCAGAGAGAGAGAGAAAGGGAAAGTGAGAAAGCAAGCCACCAGGTCCAGAACTCAAACCATGGTCAGCCATGTGGAAGTGCCCAGAGCCTTACCACCACGCTACCTGCTGGCCCCACTGGTCCCGCTGGTCAACTTTAAAAAAATAATAATAATAATGACAATTTTAAAATTAAATAATTTTAAAAACAATGACAAAACTAACCGAGTTTTTTTTTTAATACACAAGTATACAAAATAAAATTTAGAAACAAATAATGTTTAAAAAAGATCAATAAGGGGCCAGCTGGTGGTGTGGTGGTTGGTGACTGGATCCCATATGGCCTTCTGTACAGTCTGAGTTCTGAATCCAGTGACTTGAGGAACGTGCCAGATATGCATACCTGCTCCAAATCCTGAGAGAATGGAGAAGGGATTGTGGCATGGCCATCCGCCTGGGTGGTGATTTCTCACTTTCCCTCTGCATCTCTCATGCAAGCACGTGCCCTATGGCAAAAAAAGAAAAGAAAAGAAAAGAAAAGAAAAGAAAAGAAAAGAAAAGAAAAGAAAAGAAAAGAAAAGAAAAGAAAAGAAAAGAAAAGAAAAGAAAAGAAAAGAAAAGAAAAGAAAAGAAAAGAAAAGAAAAGAAAAGAAAAGAAAAGAAAAGAAAAGAAAAGAAAAGAAAAGAAAAGAAAAGAAAAGAAAAAAGCCTAAGGGAAGACATTGGTCAATGTGTACAGAGTTAAATGGAAGAAATAAATTCGTGTTTTCTATTGCACAGTAAGACTAACTATGGTTAATAATAATATACTGCATATTTCAAATAGCTAAAGTTATTTTTAATGTTCTTACGACAAAGAAATGATAAATATTTGAGGTGATATGCTAATTACTCATTCTACAAGGTAGACAGTATCCCATAAATATATATAAATAATACTTGCTAATTAGAAATAAAATAGAATAAAACAAAACAGACTGTCATATCACCATTCCTAGCATCCCACTCCCAACCCCTACAAAAAGGGGTTAAAAAGTTTCTTTCTTTCTTCCAATGAGTGAGGGAGACAGAGGCAATATCCCCAGGTCTGTCATGACATGATCCACCACCAGCCTCAGCCAGCCCTAGATACAGGTGTGCAACTGGCCTATACATGGAGACATACCTGGAACCTTCCCATGTAAGTCAACCTCACAGAGCACTGCTCTGTGAAGAACAGGAAATAAAAAAAAAGGCACTCAACACAAAAAGGCTAAAATAAATAAGTCCTTATCAGCCAACACCTGCTCCTAAGGTCAGGGGGGTCCCAATGCAGAGGCTGACAGCTGAGATCAGGAGGGAGGGCACTCGGCCTACCTATGAATCATGTATGAGTTCACCAGCAAAGAGCCTGGCTAGGCCCTCTGTATCCAGAGCCACTGACTAGGACAAGGAATCAGAAGCCCTGGGCCACAGCCAATGCTGGCCTTCATCTTTGGAGATTCTGGGTCATTAACCACTGTACTCCAGTCCCACCCCACTCCCTGTGAACCTCCTGGCCTCCTGGGCTTGCTCACTGCCTTCAGTGGAACCCTTAAGGGGGAGCAGCAGCCAGGTAGGCCAGACGGCCAGAGGGAATGTTGCACTGCGAATCTCTCTGCCCTGTGACCTGCTTGAGCAAGTTCAATACCACCCGAGATTCTGATTTGCTGAAGATGTCAGCATGTTATCCTATCCTTCCTTGCAAGGGAGAATGATGACCACAAGGACTCGGGGACTGTAAGCCCTTCCCAGCCCTGCTGCCATGCAAACTCCAGCTCACCAATGTGGCCAGCTGTCCATATCATGATTTGATTGGCTATTTCCAATTCCAACGACTCAGGAAAAGAAAAAACAGATGAAACTGACAAGAAATCTAGAGTTCCCTCATCCTGTTTCTTCACAAGTTGGAAGGCTGAGAAAAAAACCCAAATGAGTCATTAGAGGTAGAAAACATCTGATCTCATCTTGAGGTGAAGTAAGGAATATGGGGGTGAGACCTGTTAACATGATTCCTTCCAGCAAGATACAAAGGTGGAGAGTCCCCCCACTGCTCCAGAAATTCACTCAGAATCCAGCTGCTTGGCAATCAGCTGTTTTCCCAGAGCTGAGATGTATGGTGCGGGGTTGCCAGCTGGCCCACAGTCCACTCAGCCCACAACCTAGCGGTTCCCAGACAGAATTTCATCATCCAGTTTTTGTTTGACTTTTGAACTAGGTTTTAATTGGGCACCTGATGGAGGACTGTTGGCATTTCATTTTTCCAAGGAAACCATTACAAAAGAAAATATTATCAGGGACCAGCGGGTGGCATGATGGTTAAGGTGTTGGACACTCCCACATGGCCATCCATGGTTTGAGTCCCAGACCTGGTGGCTTGCTTCCTCACTTTCTCTCCCTCTCTCTAGTCCAATGAAAATAAATGAATGAATAAATAAAATTAAATAATTAAAAAATATTACCATCCTTTCCTAAAATTAAACATTTTAGCACCAAGAAACGCTAAAGGATGGCCTTTTATATGCATTTAAGCTTTATGGAACACTCATTAGTACATGTTCCTCACTTCTGCAGGAGAGTCAGGATGAGTCATCATGGGCCGACACTGATGTCCACCGCCTTGACCCGCCTGGAGTTGAATTCCAATCCGAATTCCAGTATGCAGGAACTTGGGGTCAAAGGGCTCTGGGGAACCGCTCAGGTTGGGCTCTAAGCACTTGAGAGGGTACAACCAACCTGTGTAAGAATGGCTTTCATGGGCCAGCAGGTGGTGTGGTGGTTAAAGCACTGAACACTCCCATATGGCTCACAACAGTTCAAGTCCCAGACCTGGTGGCTTGCTTTCTTGCTTTCCCTCTCTTTCTCTCTCTATGCCTCTCTTTGGTCAAATTAAAACAAACAAATAATTTTTTTAAATTTTTTAAATTAATAATTCTTAAAAAAAAAAATGGCTTTCACTCAGCTCTGAGGCTCCTGACCCCCCGAGCTGGGGCTCGCCTCCTGCCTCATGTCACCTCCTGTCTCCTTACAGGAAGCCCCACGCCCAATTCCCCAGAGCCACCTGCAATGGAGCTTTGAACCACCAGTCGTTCCAGGAGTGGGTCTTGAGGTCGCCCAGTTTAGGCACCTCAGCCTGGTGCCCCCAGCCCTGCACCCAACCTTCCATCTGGTCAGCAGCAGGCGCCCTTGCCAGGTGTAGAGCTGAGTGCTGAGAGCCGCGGCACTGGGTTGGGAAGCCGAGCTGATGGCAGGGAGGGGAGGCGGGGACCAGCCCAGCCTGAACGGCAGACCCCCATCCACAGCAGCGGCAGCCCTGGAAACAGGCTATACCAACAGCTGGACAAACTGATGCCTCCCTAAGTCCATGGCCTGAGTGAGGGGGCAGACAAGGCCACCAAGCACAAGAGCCATCTGTACGGTACAAGGGGTGTTACTGTGGCGAAGCCTCTTCTGGAAACTGCCCCGATCTCTGGCCACCTTGACTCATCCTCTGCCATCTTCTGCCAACCTGTCACTCTCGTCATCCTGTCTCCACCTTGGTCAACATGGCCAGTGTTCTTTGTGGAACATCTGAGCCCCGTCCCTGTGCCATGCACACAGCTCAAGGCCAATGACATGGGACTGAGTGACCAACAAGAGCACTGGCTAAGGAGCACTGGCTCCCAAGATGGCGGCACCCAGCCCACAGAGAAGCCAGCCGCGGAGAGACCAGGCGGGGCCTCCTTAGCCTCACACACAAAGCCCCTCTCCTGGCCTAGGAGACCTGTGCCTCTGCATTTCCCAGCACCGCCTTCCCCACCCGCATTCTCACCTTGCTTGAGGAGGAGACAGCAATGCGGTGGGAAATTTTACTCCAGAATAGGCCATAAGGACTAACTCAGCATGCGATGGACTGCCTTGCGAGGTGCTGGGCAATCAGGCTCTGCAATCATGCCTGCGAGACAGTCAGATCTCTCTCTCACCTAGGCTGAGTCACCCCGAGGTCATCTGGTTCTCCAGACATATACAGGAGATCCTCAGCCAAGGTCACAGGAGTACAGGCCTCTGTCAACGAGCTCCACCCACGGTGGGCTGTCACACAGCTGGACACAAAGCTGGGAGGCCTGTCCTGGCGAGAGCTCCCTGGGAAGAGGAGGTTGAGAGATACTGACCCAGGTGCTCGGGATCAGCCACCCAAAGGCAGAGATGACCAGGGAAGACCTGCTTGCTGCTCCCCAACCATGTGGCCTCCCGTCTAGATATACAGGCTCAGACCAGAGGTGAGGTCCTGTGCCCTCCCCCTCTTCCACCACAACAGAGGCTTATCAGGATCAGCACTGTCCTAAAGCCAGAGGATAACAATAGTGTGTTTCTGACCCCTATGCAGAAAGAGCCCACTGAGAACCGGCAAGAAGCAGTGCCTCTTCAGGCCCTCCCTTACTGTGCCATGGTCTGCTCTAATGAGGTCCTGAGGGCAATCGGTCACACAGCCTTGCTTTATGGGGCTTCCTGTGCCCTTACAACCCCTAAAATTGCAGGAGGCCACAGCACTGAGTTTCCTAGCTAATGTCAGGCTCTTGCTCAGAACAATGAATTAAACAATCTTAACAAACAGACCATGAGATCCATAGATGGGAGGGAATGTGTTTACTTTAGGTATAAAGGTTTTCTAGTATTAACAAGTTATTGCTATTATTTACATGTTTATAAAATGGAAATAAAAATGACATACATGTTTGGTGCCAAAAGTGGTGCATCCAAACTAATACCAGTACAAAAATAAATTTCCAAGCTCCGTGTTTCTAAGATAAATGTCACTGAAACAGTAAGGGGAACAGTTCGATCACATACAGAAATGCAACGTCATCACAGCAAAGAAGCCTTGGGCGGCTATGAGACCAGGGCCTGCTGGGAGAGCCGCCCAGTGTGTTCCTGCAAGGACAAGCAAACAAACGAAAAAACGAACAGACAACAGTTATGTTCCTGAGCTACGAAGTTTAGAGCATCTAAACTGTGTAAATTTCTGCTGCAGAAGAACCCCCGGGGGCCTGAGCTGACGAGCTGGCACCAGTGCTCAGCTCGGGGCACCAGGCTGTGGTGTTGTACTCTAAGAGCTAAGCCCACTTGGGAAACACGGAAGTCCTTGGCCAACAAAAATCGGCACACACGAACCCTCCCCTCTCAATCACCAATCCCTTGCAACCTCCCGACCGCAGACAAACGGGAACATGGGCAGAGGACAGACAAGCTTCTTGCTGGGGAGCTCCTGTGCCCACCACACACAGCCCTTGGTGATTCTGGCAGAAATCCCCAGCGTTTCCAAGGTCTCATCTGTCCGTAGATACTCGTCTGTCCACACCAGACATTACTGGCCAACGGCTGTGCAAACCCTCTGCCACCTCACATAGTGCTGGCTAACTTTGCTCCTCGTGTCCCCTGACACTAGGTGAGGACTGTGTGCCTACAGGAAGTGGCATGCCAGGTTAGTGCGCGTGCTGAGCGAGCCAAGGAGCACAGCCCACCGACTCCCGCTCTGCCCGGGTGCAGTGCAGCAGGTGCCTGCCCATGCACACATTCCTCCAGGATCCAGGAAGGAGTGTAAGTGCTGACAGGCGGGAAGGAGGGGCTAGTGAAGGGCTGCTGCCTACTGCAGAGCAGCCGAAGGTTCCTTGGGAGCTGGTGCTGCTTGCCCTGGGGCCAGGGCAACGGCAGGGAAGAGAGGACACCAAGCAGTCTCTGCAGTGCAGTGGAGCTCTGCTCACTGGTCCTGGACCTTGGCCCTCTTGGCTTTCAGGGACAGGTGCTGTAAGAGAAGAGAAAACATCCTAGTTGGGGCTGGTCACAACATGATTCCCATAAGCGGGGCCTAATTGAACTTCCATCTGGTCCACAGCTCCTCGATAAACACAACCTTTCAGGAAGCCTTCTGGAAGGTAAAAGCCTTAGTGACCCATCAAGGGAACAGTGGACCCCTAGCTGCCATGGCTGACCTACAAAGAAGCTGCCAACGGCAGGACAGCACTGCTCAACACTGTACAGACTGGGCTTGGCAGCAGGTGACCTCGACATTCCTGATGGTGGCCAAGAAAAAGAACCTTCTCCTTAGAGGCAGAGAAAACCATCAATTTACCAAGATCTCAGTGTGCCATGCACCTGTGCTTAATGGCAGAGCTCAAGACACGGCACCTACCTCATGGTGGGTACAAGCTACCTGGGAAGACGGAAAGGATCTGCCTATTGACACTTGCCCACCCCCGAGAAATGTCATTCTCTGCTAGAATAAGTATGTGAAGCATTACGTTATAATTGTGGGCATCAGATAATGGGATAGAGGGATAAAAATATTCTTTACATTTTCAGGTACAACCAAACATCCTAGAAATCCCAAAATACGCAATTTGAAGCAGAGTATAAATATATGCTTTTAAGAAAGAACCGGTGTTGGGAACCAGCAGTTAGCGTAATGGCTATGTTGCTGGACTCCCATGTAGTTGACCGCGGTTCGCGTCCCGGACCCGGTAGCTTAAAACTCACGCCGGGCGTGTGTGCGTGCGTGCCCAAGATCCCGAGAGGAGAATGGAGGAGAAGGGATTGCGGCGTGACCATCCCCCCTGGGGGGTGATTTCTCGCTTTCTGTCTCTATGTCTCTCTCTGTCTGTCTGGCGAGTGCACGCGCCCTATAGTGAAAAAACCTCTCCAAAAAAAAAAAAAGAAAGAACCAGTGTTGAGACTAAAGAGCAGAGTGGGAAAGAAAGGTTATAAAAATATAAAAGGAAAATAGAAAAAACCTCTGTTCCCCAACTGAGGGATACCTGGTTAACTCATTAAAAATCATAAACAAGGGACCAGCAGGTAGCATAATGGTTACATTGCTGGACTCCTACATAAGTCAGCCGCGGTTCAAGTCCTAGGCCTGGCAGCTTAAAAAACACCAGTTGAGTGTGTGTGTGTGTGTGTGTGTGTGTGTGTGTGTCCAAGATCTCAAGAGGAGACTAGAGGAAAAGGGATTGGGGAATGGCCATTCCCCCGGGGGGTGATTTTTTACTTTCTGCCTCTGTCTCTCCAGAGAGTGCATGGAGTTTATAGCAAAAATCTCTTGTAAACAAAAAATGTATACATATATCATAAACACTCAAGATGTGCCTCAGGCATGCCACCCTACCACACGATGAGATCGTCACATGAGGATTCCCACCCCCGACGGCTCAGTGCCCAAACCCCAGTTCTCAGCACGCCCGTGTGGCCTCAGAAGCCCATCACCCACAAAGAGCGTGGAGCAGGCCCGCAAGAACACGAGAGTGAGAGGAGGCACTGCACACCAGCAAGCACCACCCGAGAAACGACCATGGAAAACAGGACCTGGGTCCACATGAGCTGTAAGAATTCACTTCCTATCCACTCGTGCCTAAGACCAGCATGTATTCTTGTAAAAATCAGGTTAAAAGGGTTTCTTCCCTAGGTAACAAAGATATCTCTGAATTAAGGGGGAAAAGCGAAGGACAGAAAGGCACATGTCTGAACAATCACTCTTCTCCAAGCTGTGGCTCTTGCTGAATTTCTCTGAATTCTCCTCTCCCCAAACGTCACCTGATATGACCTCAGCAACAAATGCTAGACATTCATGGCCTTGCTCGGGAATGGGAGATGATGCCACCATGCCTGTGGGGCCATTTTTGGACTCTGTTTGAGAGGAATGTTCAACATAAACAAAGCTGACTGCGCCATTTCAGGCCTCTTTACAGGGCAAGAACACTGAGAAACAACGGTGATGGAAAGTCACTGACGGGGCCAGGAACAGTGTGGGTGACGTGTGGGCTGAGGACGGCTTCAAGGTGCTGCACGGTGTTCAACAAAGGAACATCTACCATACACAGGCAGGAGATCTGGAGAGTTCTTCGAGAACTCCATCTGCTTTGGACAAGTTCATAGCAGAAGTCCCTCTGGACTATTTGGCTAAGAAGGGCCCACGTTCTCTGGGAATGTGGGGACCCTGGCTACACAACAAGGTACACTAGGTGATTTCTATTGCTGTTGGCTGCTTTTTAAATACTCTGATCACAGTAGAGGTGAGGGGCTGAAAATCTGGCATTTGGAGAGAAGAAACAAATGCAGAAATTTGAGCTTGTCATTTTCTTCAAACTTCTGAAGTTATTTGCTTTTTGTGGGACTGACCTAAAAAACTGCAAATTTGAGCTGAGAAAGGAAAATGACTCAGCTTCTAGTCTAATTCTGTTTTCTAAGAGTCTAAATGAATCCAAGACAATTTCAGACCTATCCTTCTCCAAGTGCTTGCATCTTACTCTTAACAAGTACTTTTACAACTGCTGTTCTCTCAACAGAAGCAAGAAAACGTGACCCAGCACAAGGGAGTTAAACAGTCAAATGACAAAACATATCAGAAATGACAGGGATATTGTTATTACATAGCCCTTTAAAACAATTATTAATACGTTCAAGAATTTAAAGAAAAGGATGGATGCACTGAGTCTAAACAGAAAAAAATCTAAAGAACCAAATGAAAACGCTAGAAAGGAAAAATATATCTAAAATGAGATATCCTCTGGATGGGCATAACAGAGACTGAACACTACAGAAGAACTGCCGGTGAGCCTGAAGACAGGCCAAGGAAAACCACCCCGACTAACGCACAGGAACAATATTACAAACCGTGCAGGCCAACAAAGTGAGTCTGTGGGCCAGATTTAGCCAAGTTTGTGAACTCTAATTTACCTGCCAGCCTTCCAAATACTCTATAACTAGGCCTCAGTTAAAAATTTTATTGGAAGAATGTATGGCGTTGGGGGTGGGGGTAGGAAACAACTGGACCATTTTTTGAGTAAAGAAAAGTAGAAACAAACTACGAATTGCTCCTTGATGCCCCCACCTGTGCGTCCTGCATGTGGGCCGCCATGGAGACATGCCCGCTGCACGCCGGTGCACCCTATCACGCACCACGGTTAAACCACCTTGGTGCCACACAGTACGTATAGGCTTGGTGGGGAAATCCTCATCTGACACTGTCTGTGCCACTTCTTGTGAACAGGGGTCCAAAGTGTGTCCTAATTTCTTTAGAGCTGGTTTAGAAGAGCAAAGGGAGGGAGGAAGAGCTGGGGACATATTTTCCTTTTACTTTTCCCATGGAAAAATATAACGGGCTTATTTTTTAAAGAGAGATTTTTGCTATAGGTGCGTGTGCTCACTGGAGACAGACAGAAAACAAGAACTCACCCCCTAGGGGGATGGCCACACGGCATTCCCTTCTCCCTCACTTTCCTCTCAGGATCTTGGGCATACACACACACACATCTGGCATGAGTTTCAAGCCTCCAGGTCCAGAATTCGAACCACAGTCAGCCACCACAGGAGTCCAGTGCCTTAACCACTACACTACCTGCTGGCCCCAAGGAGCTTATTTTTAATTATACTTCATTATGAAGTAAATGACACAGTGCTTTTACCCAGAATGCTTTGAGGATATGGATAACAGCCTTTCACCACATGTGTGTGACTTGGGGGAGGTGGGATGGGAACAAATGTAAAGCATGAAATTGTAGAATAAACACAGATCTAGAAATATGAAGAAGCTGCTAACTGGTGACATGGGGCAGGCTCTGTTCACTCCTACCGTTCCTTGCTGGTAGAAGTGTGGAGCCAGCTCCAACAGCCAAGCAGACTCGATGGCAGTCACGTCTCTCATGTAATACTTGGAGGTTTGTATAACTTCATTGTAGATAACCCTGAAAGGAGAAAACATGAGCTGAGTCCGCAGCTCACGATGAGATGAGGAGCGTTTCCCCCCACCTGTAACCAGCATGTGCCAGGCCCTGTACTGACTACAAGCATCTGTGTTGCTTGCTTTAGCCTCAAAGCCTGAGTGCTGGATAATAATCTGTCCGTTTTACAGATGAGACTCTAAGTTCTATGTGATTTCAAGCACATCTCAGTTATCCACCAAGGGAATTTCTGGACCCTTAGTCGACTGCATTTACGGAACTCTGAACAGAGCCTGATGATTTTATTAGAAAATGTAGAAACAGAAGCAAAGACTAGAAGCTAGGAATGGACTATAAAGAGATATGAAGGAGCTTTCTAAAATGATGGAAATATTTTCTATATTATTTGGAGCCAGTTACACAGGTGCACACATTTGTCAAAATTCATCTGTTAGGTCACATTCAGTAAAGCTCTTCTGAGCACGGCTGGACAAGGAACCAAGGCTGGGTGCTGTGCAGACCTGGCTGGCAGGAACCCACACTCCAGGCGCTGCTACTGCAGAGTCACACTGCCCAGAGAGTAGCAGACAGTGACCCAAAGTGAGAACTGAGAGGTCTCACTCCCCAGAGATGGCTCAAAACACACGAGTTTCATGTATGCTTATCCCACTGTGCCCGACTCCCTGGCTGACCAGTCACGCATCCTGGCACACATTCTCCCAGGGTAGCCTGGGCGCCCTATGAGAGGAGCCCGTTCCTTCCTGGCAGGCGGGCTGAAGCACCTCTGACTTCAGAGCCCCGGTGCCCTCTTCCTCTCAACAAACTCTTTCTCTCTTGAGATGATGCCTCCTACTCCGAACTGTGACGTCATCTTTCCCTGTATGTAAATGATACCTTTATTTAAGAAGAGAGAAGACTTACCAGAGGTTGAGGTAACAGGCAACCAAAGGGCAAGAACTGAAAACCTGTGTTTCTAACCAGTTTCCAGGTGATGCTGATGCTGGTCTGGAGACCAGGCTCTGAGAACCACCGGTCTAGGGGCAAGTACCTTCCAATGGACCTCTGCCCTCTAACCTTCTCTACGGCCCTTCCTCCCTCTCTCCACACGTACCCCTCCTCTATCACAGGACTTCTCCAGCTTTCAGTTGGGAAAGAACCAGCCATTTTTGTCCCTAAAATTTTCAGTCTACTGTTGATCAACACCTTGTAAAACACAAGACAGATAAGTTACTAGGAAAAAAAAATCAACCTTAAAAAGGACACATGAAATACAAGCCTACACTTTTCTATTATTAAATTGAGTACATATAAACTTAACTTGTAAAAATGCTATAAAAAGTTCTAAATGCCCACTCAGAGCTTTTTTGTTGTTGTTTTGTTTTCTTAAGATTTTTGCCATAGGGTGTGTGCACTTCCTGAAAGAGACAGTGCAAAGGAAAGTGAGAAATCACCCCCTGGGGGAAGGCCTCATTGCAGTTTCTTCTCCTCCATTCTCCTGCTGGGATTGTGGGCATGTATAATCACACTCCCTGCATGATTTTCAAGCCTCCAGGTCTGGGACTCGAACCACAGTTGGCCATGTGGGAGTCCAATGCTGTAACCACTACACCACCTGTTGGCCCCTACTTTCGACTTCTGTACTTCCCTCTTCCTTCCCAGGTATTATTACAGGCTGGCATTACTTCATGGGCCACTCTTTGGCTAGCCTCAGGGCAGTCAATGGCTCCCCACTTCCCAAAGACATGAGGCTCCCTCATGTTTCCACGACTCTGCTCCTGCTACTTCTTCATTGTGGAATTCCCTTCAGGTCCTTTTGTGCCTGAAAACCCTTGTGTCTAGGTCTAGAGCAAATGACTCTCCTTGAAACCAGCCTTGACTCTGTCTCATGCCAATACTTCACGCATCCCGTGAAGAAAGCCCTTCTTCGAACGTGGTGGAAATTCTGTCTCCGTCCAGACTATGAGCTGGGACCCTGACCCACCTCTAGCTGTGCCTAGCGCAGGGTTTAGCAACGAGTCAGCAGGTAGGAACGGACATCTGCTGAATGGATGAGTGAGTAAACAAACAGCACCATTTGTATGAGGAAAGTTTTGACAGAACAGAAACTCTGTAGACAACAGAGTAACAAAATTGACAAATGCTTTGAAGATGCTCCTAAATCCAGGCCATGTGCAAGTCACTGGGGACCCGGAGATGAACAAGAACCAGGTCTGTCTTCAGGCACTCGTAAGGCTCAGCAGCAGGAGGGGCTTACCAGCGAGGAGGCTTCTCTGCATAGAGGACCGACGCGGGGTGAATGTGCAGTTCATGATCGTCACGGATAGTCCTTGTGAAAGAGAAGAATTCTGTCTGAAGCACGCTTTAAACACTGACAGCAAGACTCTCCCACAGACGTTTTCAATACTACCAAACAACACACACGGGCCTAGCCACAGTGGTGCGGGTGGCAGTGTGCATGCATGGAATGCCCCAATTTCATTCCCAGACCAACCTCTACATGCCAGGCATGGTGGTGGAGGCCTGCAATCCTAGCTAACTGAGAGGCCCTGCAATCCTACCTAACTGAGAGGCTGGGGCAGGAGGATGGCCACATGGTGAGACCCTGTCAAAACACCATCTCTCTACATTTCTATCATTAAAAAAAAGGGGGCCTGCAGACTGAACTTCACCTCAAACAATTCTATCTTCTCTTGTGTCCTTTCTTGATCCTTCCCCTACTGCCAACCCAGCAGTCAAGACTTATGCAAAAAAGAGAATGGAAGAAAAGTAACATGTAGACACATAGAAAAAAAATTTAGACAAAAATAGTTTTTTGCCTGTGTTTATATTTATCTCCTGAAGATTCTCTTTTATTTTTTGTCTTTTTTCAGAATTATTTATTGGGACCAGCAGATGATAATGGTTACATCGCTGGACTCCCACAAGGCCAACTGCAATTGAGTCCTGAAGACTCAAAACTCACACCAGGCGTGTGCACATACATGTCCAAAATCCCAAGAGGAAAATGGAGGAGCAGGAACTGCGGCATGGCATCCCATCCCCCTGGGAGGGGGAAGAGTGATTTCTCGCTTTCTGTCTCTCTGGCAAGCGCATGCGACCTATAGCAAAAATCTCTCTCTAAAAAAAAGATTTATTTAATTTGTTATTATCATTACTTCCAATTTACTACAGGGCACATGTGCTCACCAGAGAGGGAGAGAGACACAGGTGGGGGGAAACTGAGAAAGCAAGCTGCCAGGTCAGGGACTCAAACCACAGTCGGCCATGTGGGAGTCCAGCACCGTAATCACCACTCCACCTGCTAGCCCTCTGCAGGTTCTTTGTTAAAACAATATCCTTCGGACAGGAATAATCGTGTGATTTCTTCCATAAGTTTTTATAGTAAATAGGTAAGTACTAAAGATAAAGACTACAAATAGAGGTATTAATAGTGAAAAAAAAAAGCTTGATATTGGGCTATTACTTTCTCTGAAGTAGTAGCTTCAATTCCAACTCAAATTTGATTCAGTTTAATTCAAATAACATTCACTGATCCCACACTCTCAGTAAGATCAGATCACAGGCAAACATGAACAGATCAGGATGTCACTGCCCGAACCACGGCCTGGGGTGCTCCTGTGGGCAGCAGGGATCTTCTCATTGGGAAAGAGCGGCCAGTTCCATGAGCTTACGCCGGCACTGTGTCCATGTCCTGAGACCCGGCTGCTCTCCTGGAAGTGTGGGGGTGGTGGACAAAGCAACGCTGAACTTTGTTTCAAAGGAATGACTGGCCCTAGATGAGCTTACATAGCCCATATTTTTGTTGATGACCTGATAAAATAATTTTTAATGCTAGCAGAAATTGCTAAACAATACTTCTCATGGTCCAGCCTCCATGGAGCAGGCAGTAGTGCACTGAACTGCAGTGCTGGAAGCCACATGGTAGACCATGGGTTCAGATCCCCAACCTGGCTGACCTGAAATACAATGGACATGACAATATGTGCCCAGGATCCTGATGGGCTAGAGGGCTGGGGCAAGGAGGCAGCAGCATAATGAGACCCTGTGAAGATTGTTCCTCTTTCTCTCTCTCTCTCTCTCTCTCATGCATGCACACATGCTCTATCATGAAATAAAAAACCCAAAACATTCTTCAAGAAAGTGGGGCCTTGGAAACCAGCAGTTAGCATAATGGCTATGTCGCTGGACTCCCACGTAGTCAACCGCGGTTCGTGTCCCGGACCCGGTGGCTTAAAACTCACACCAGGCACATGTGCGTGTATGCCCAAGATCCGGAGAGGAGAATGGAGGAGAAGGGATTGCCGTGTGACCATCCCCCCGGGGGGTGATTTCTCGCTTTCTGTCTCTATGTCTCTCTCTGTCTGTCTGGCGAATGCACGCACCCTATAGCGAAAAAAACCTCTCAAAAAAAAAAAAAAAAAAGAGAGAGTGGGGCCAATCAAAATGACAAGGGAGCAGTATTCACTGAGAAAGATCTCGGGTCTCTCCAGAAGGGAGTCTCACCTCCAAACTCAGAGAGTTGTCCCAAATGCAAACATTTCAGTGTGTGGAGATATTAACAGGCCAGAACACTTCGTTTGGAGTAACAGATAGAACATACTAGAGATAAATATAAAGTGCTACCAATGCAACTCCAGACTTATTTATTTTTTTGGAGAGGTTTTTTTGCTATAGGGCGCGTGCGCTCGCCAGAGAGAGAGAGAGACAGAAAGCGAGAAATCCCCAGGGGGGATGGCCACGCTGCAATCCCTTCTCCTCCATTCTCCTCTCGGGATCTTGGGCACGCAGCATGCACACGCGCCCGGCTTGAATTTAAGCCACCAGATCCAGGACTCGAACTGCAGTCGACTACATGGGAGTTTAGCGACATAGTCATTACATTAACTGCTTGTCCCTAGACTTGTTATTTTTAAAGAGTTATTTATTATTATTTTTAATTTGACCAGAAAGAGTGAAAGAGAGAGAGTGAGAAATCAAACCACCAGGTCTAGGACTCGAACCGTGGTCAGCCATGTGGGAGTCTAGTGCTCTAATCATCATGCCACCCACTAGCCCCATAACTCTAGACTTGTTAACAGAAGCTCAGTGTGTCCAGGACAAGGAATATACTGACTGATCTCAAAAGAACAAGACTACATTTTCTAAGGGAAAAATATTAATGTCAAAATAATATACAAAGGAAATGCAAAGTAAGGTTGGGGAGAAAGTCCCTTTTATTCCCTCATTAGAGAATAGAAAAGGAATACAGTTATACTTTAAACAGGCTACAGTTCAGTTAGAAACTAAAATGAGTCAAAGGACAGAAGAGAAAGATTAAGAGTAGCAACTGAGGGACCAGGAGATGGTATAATGGCTATATCATTGGACTCCCAATAGTCGACCATAGTTCGAGTCCATGGTTCGAGTCCCGGACCCAGTGGCTTAAAACTTATGTCAAGGGGCCGGCAGGAGCTGGGTGGTTAAGGATACTCGACTCCACATGGCCGACCATGGTTCAAGTGCCAGACCTAGCAGCTTGCTTTCTCACTTTCCCTCTCTTTCTCTCTCTTGCTCTATCCCTCTCTGGTCAAATTAAAACAAACAAATAAACAAATAAAGTTAAATAAAATAATTCTTTTTAAAAAAACACAACCTCATGCTGCGCACAAGTGTACATGTGGCCAAAATCCTGGGAGGAAAATGAAGGAGTAGGGATTGCAGTGTGGCCACCTCCCCTGGGGGAGTGAGTTCTCACTTTCTGTTTCTCTGTCTCTCTCTGTCTCACTGGTGTGTGCATGTGCCCTCTAACAAAAATGTCTCTCTCAAAAAAAAAAAAGTAGCGGGACCAGCAGTTAGCATAATGGCTATGTCTCTGGACTCCCACGTAGTCGATCGTGGTTCGAGTCCCGGACCCGGTGGCTTAAACTCACACTGGGCGCGTGTGCGTGCGTGCCCAAGATCCCGAGAGGAGAATGGAGGAGAAGGGATTGCGGCGTGGCCATCCCCCCTGGGGGGGTGATTTCTCGCTTTCTGTTTCTCTGTCTCTCTCTCTCTGTCTGGCGAGCGCACGCGCCCTATAGCAAAAACCTCTCCAAAAAAAGAAAAAAAAAAAGTAGCAACTGAAAGAACAAGAATGGTTTAGAGAAAAAAAGGCTAAAGTTACACTTTCGTTTTTATGTTATGTGAATGTGCTAAATGCTATTAGGAAGCTATCGATGATCAGTGACTTTTTTTCTTTCTTTTTTTAAGAATTATTTTATTTAACTTTATTTATTTATTTTAATTTGAAGAGAGGGGGACAGAGTGAGAGAGAGAGAGAGAGAAAGTTAGCAAGCAAGACACCAGGTGCGGGACTCAAATTGCAGTCGGCCATGTGGGAGTCCAGCACCCTTAACTACCATGCCATCTCCGGCCCTAGATGATCATTGATTTTCTACACCTAGAAATGGAACATAAAGAAGCGGGTGTAGGGACCAGCAGTTAGCGTAATGACTATGTCGCTGAACTACCATGTAGTTAACCATAGTTCGAGTCCGGGACTTGGTGGTTTAAACTCACGGCAGGTGCGTGTGCATGTGTGCCCAAGATCCCGAGAAGAGACTGGAAGAGAAGAGATTGCGGCATGGCCATCCCCCACAAATCGGCACACATGTGAATACACAGGGAATAATTTTCAAGCCACGGGGTCCAGATCTCGAAACACAATTGGCTATGTGGGAGTCCAGTGCCTTAACCACCATGTCACCTGCTGGGCCCATAAATTTGTACTTTAATTCAATTTTTCCACAACCTTGTGAAGCCGCTTTGTATGGTTAACCTCAAGTTAGTTTTAGAAAGAGGCAATTTACAAACTAAAATGAATTACTTAAGCTTTTTACTATCTCTGCATATCTAATTTCTGTGAGGACTGGGGTGATTAATTTTAAGATTTCTGTTTTACCAAATTACTTCATAAAGTATCACGTTACCTATAAGCTCCAGTAGAATGAAATCTCGCTGCATTTGCAAAGAATCCCGAAACAATGCACCTCAGGACCGGATCTGGATCACCTACAGAAAGCAGCAAAGTGATGGATAAGCCTCTTGCCTTCCCCACACCGTGTACTGAGGTCTGTGCTGTGATGAACAGGCTCCAGTCCTACCCTACCCCAGGAAATTTCAAGCCGCCTCGAAACCATCCCCAACACTGGGTCCAGCTCTATGCTTCCCAATGCTGGAAGCCTGCTCTGTACCACCAGAAGAGACCCTCCCCTCCCACAATGGCTGCTGGGAAAATAATGCTGGACTGCTCCTTTCGCTTAGGACCCCTCCAGCCCCTCTAGGTCACAGGTGACTGGACCAAGACTGTGCACCAGATCATAAAAGAGTTAGTCCACAAGCTGGCCGGGGACCTTAGAACTCCTTTTTAGGACAGCATCTTGTGGAAGGTAAGTTCTCTCTGTAAGACACAAACTGGAATGCTATACTACAACACTTCAGCGGTACTTCTGTGGATATAAGCTACAATGTGCAACTCTGCAACTATTTCAAATACTTCATTGCGATCACTGTCACCGTGATTATTGCAAACCTCTCCTACAAGATGCCGTCTCCATTTATTAGGTAAGGCCCATAGGGTACATTCTGAATTACTGTGAGGAAAGAGAATGTCACTTTATAGTTTATACTTAATACCATATTTCACTGATTCTAAAAGATTATCATGTGTGGGTATATATATTTATACACATATGTGTATATGCATATTGTATATATACGCATACACACACGTATAATTTAACACTGAAACCAGGATAGTATTTTACAATTATAATCAGCAGTAATACATATAATAATGTGTCTATATTTGATAGTACCTTGGGTCCAATGACATGTACTATGTTGGTAAATAAGTTCCCTAAAGGTGGTACTATTACAAAGCCATCAACAATATATAAAAATGACAGTTTCACTGCATTCTTACCTGCAATATTTTGGCAAAATGGGTTTCCATCTTCTTTACTGTACACATTCATTTGATTACTATCTGCACGCTTCTTTTGTTAATTTTCTGACCCAATTCTTTTATTTATCAACTTGGAAACTAGTGGGTCTTGGGGGGGCCACTGTTTAATTTTGCTAGAGGGTGCATGGACTAGAGGAGGGGTGTGAAAAAGCACCCCCACAGGGGATGATCAAGCTGCAATCCCTTCTCCTCCTTTTCTTCCTCCATTTTGGAGCACATGTGCAGAGGCACGCAGTGTGCTTCTCAAGTTGCTGGGTCTAGGACTTGAACCACACAGTCAGCCAGGATCCAGCTGCTTTAACCACCCGCTGGTCAGAAACTAGTATTTTTTTCTAAGCAGGTTAAAATAAATCATTCCCTAATAAAGACAATAAAGTTTTTAACTTGTTTTTTAAGGAATTACTTATTATTATTATTATTATTTAATTTGCTATAGGGCACATGGCTCACCAGAGAGGGACAAAGAGAGAGCAAGAGAGGGAAAGTGAGAAAGCAAGCCACCAAGTCCAGGATTCGAACTGCAGTTGGCCATGTGGGAGTCCAGCGCCTTAACCACTATGCCAGTTTTAACCTTTTTATCTCACAGCTGCTGAAAATCTCTCTCACCATTGCTTTCCTTTTTTAACATCCGGATGTGATAAATTTGCATGTAATTTATTTAGCCTCCATAATTTTCTCTACTGTTCCTAAGCATACAACTGATAAATCTCAAATTTACATTTCTAATCACAAAACTAGAGTCTGATCCAAAATTCAGTCCTTTCTTTCCAATTGCCCATAATAAATTTTCATGTAAAATATGCGACATGGCTTCTAAGGAGATGAAAACTGGTTCTTGGGACAGGGAAGCAGGGGACTTCTCAGTTATTATAATGGGTTCCGGCCCTTCAAACTCAACCATACTTCGTAAAATCTTTATTACTCGATTTCTCTTATTAGAAAGAATTTAAATTTAACGTAACTTTTCTCCTGAGCAGGAGACTGACATGAAAGTGAAGCTGCCGTCTCTCTGCTGGGTGACAGGAGCTTGATCAGCTTCTCTCCAATCAGCAGCCCCTATAAGCTCCCTGCTTCTATCAAGGATATCCCATGACCCTATTGCCCAGGTTTCAGCTCTCCTCTCTCGAGGGCTCACTCGTTCATCAAATATTCTCTAAGCATTTAACAAGCTGCTCATTCCAGGGACTTGTCTCCACAGTCTTCCTGGTCTAGCACGCTCTTTGCCAACGTATTCCACGTCAACCAGTGCCCCAAGGCTTGATCCGACCCCTGCTACCTCCCAGGTCTGCCCCGTGGATACCGTCTTCCCTGCACGCCTATAGTATTTGCCGTTGCTGTCTCCATGATTACTAATGTGTCTACTGTTTCAACTTCTAAGAGGATGGACAAGCTCATATTGTAATAGTATGTCTATCTGTATGAATCTCCTTTCATTGCACTATTCCCTGAGAGTTGGAACAATGACTATCAGCTTTTAACCATTTGTTCTTAGTATAAAAGTAAAATAAGGCACTGAAATAAAACTTCATAGGTTCAAGTTCTGACTCCACTATTCACTCACTGTGTGACCTTCAGCAAATTATCGTTTGTCTCTTAGCCTCATTTTCCTCATCTATAAAATGAGGATAATTATAGCACACATTTCACAGAGATTGTTTTGAGAATTAAATAAATTAACAAATGAAACTCTCAAAACACTGCCCGGTCTATAGTAAGCATTCAAAAAACATTCACAAGTGCCAGTGGTGCCCAGAACATGGCTGGGTACCTGCCACATGGTAGGCATTCGAGACAACTGCTGACATGTCATTTCCTCCAAAGTGTGGGCTTCTGAGCCACACAGACTGCCAGCGGTGCTGTCCTGACTTTAATCAACTCTTCCTAGGACTTTAGGACTCACCTGTGTAATATGGAGAACGCCATCCCCGCCCCACAGAGTGGGAGAGCACATGACAGAGTTTCTCTAGAACCCCTACGACACTGTCGGCTCCTGTGTCCCTGATTAATGGTAGTCACTGTCACTGCTAGAGGACAGAGTCATGTCCTACATGGCGCAAGGGACTCTTCTAAAAATCCATGGGCACTTCTGTGCATCAAAATAGATCTGTACTTTAATTCCATTTTTTCCACAAACTTTCTGAAATTCCTTCACACTTTTCTGTCTGACCTTAGTAATCACCTAGACTGAACACTCAGCTCTTGCTTTAATACTTGTGTTTGAAAATAACTTCTAATTCTTATAGAGTCATAACACCAGCCATTTACAAGTAACTTTTCTTGCAAAGCCTACATAGGAAAATTAATCATACATGTAATGACCTGAACAGTAATGATTCTTAAGTGCTCTCATGAGCAGTCAGATATTCTTAGTAAGAACAGCACTCAGAAACAAAAACAGACCTCCTCAGAGAAAACATGCAACCTCACATCAGCCTTTCATCGATGGAAGCAATTCAAAATGTGAAACCTAGTGTACGTACAGAGCACACTCTGACGCCTCACACCAACTCCGCATGAGTATGCTAAGAAGACAATTGGGGCTGGCAGATGGCACAGTGGTTAAGGTGCTAGACTCCCACATGGCTGACCACAGTTCAAGTCACATATCCAGAGGCGGGAAACTCACACTGGGTGCCATGTACACGTGTGCCCAAAATCCCAGGAAGAGAATGGAAGAGAAGAGATGGCCATCTCCCCTAGGGGTGATTTCTCACTCTCTCACTGTCTCTGTCTCTCCAGTGAGTGTGCACACCCTATGACAAAAACATTAAAAAAAGAGGAATGCAAGTCGGCAGGACAGAGACAAGGAATCGCCAGCTGGCGCAGTTTCTCCTCACCTTCACTAGACTTCTTGGGCACTTGAAACTTGACAAGAAGCTTTTTCAACTGTTCTCTCACCGTCGCAGCTCTGACGAGACCCTTATAATTCAGGAAATGTTCCTGACACCACTGAGAGTTCTTATTGTGCTACGGAACAAGCCAGACACAGAGTTAGAGAGATACAGAAATGTTCTCAACTAAGACTACAGCCGAAGATGATTATTTTCTCTGTCCCGATTTGTTTTGCTCAATGGAGCAAAACCTTCAGGCTATAACTGGCCCTTTTTTGCCTCATCTCTCAAAACAGATGTCAACAACCACGCTCTCATCTACCTGCTCCGCAACTTCCTTATGCTAAACTGCAACTGAACTTCATGACAGAGTTGTTTTCCATCTTAAATGCTTACATGACAAGTAAACTATCAGAAGGAACCACTTTCCTATGGTTCTTCATAAATCACTTTTTCTTCTTTGTGTACATGAGTTTATCACTGTGTTATAATGCAGGCGAGCTATGCTGATACACTGCAGAATAAGTTGCACCTCACTCTTACTTGTTCCCGAAGTATGCTTTTTCTATCAACAGTGCTTACTTTTTTCCTACATTCTTAAGTATGATCATTAAGTCTTGGATCAAATTATTGCTCTGTGACTACACGTCTGAAATTCTATTCTAAACTGGGGAAAGGGTTTCAAATAAGAAAGCGTAATTTACAGGGAATTTTCCAAGAAGGCAACTACAGAATAATACAATGCATACCTTACATTCATTCTACTGGTAAAGCTGCAGACTGGACAGGGTACCCTGTGCTTGTATGAATTAATTTTTAGTGGACTTAACCCATAAATCTCAAGAAGAGTAAGGAGTTTTTTTGAAAACTGTTTATTAACTGAATAGTTCTCCCTCAAATCTCTCGTGAAACTATAACTCAGCACTCTACCAACGATCTTTTCTTTTTTATGAGGTTTCTCTTTCATCATGTTCACCACCTTTAGACCTCTCTTTGTAGCCATTTTTCAGTGGGAACTCTGAGCTGTATTATTTGCTCTTGGTTTCATAGATTAAAGACAGTTGTTACCATTACCTATGGCTGAACACGGCAGGTATGTGAACACGCACAGGTCCCTGCCTGATGTCTTCCCACAGCAGCTGGGACAGCTTTGAAGGTGCAACCCCAAACTTCAAGCTGCTCTCACCTTGTTGGCTTGGCAGAAAATATCACAGGACTTCCTACTCAGCTGCTCCTTTCTGCCCAACAACACAGTGGACATGGGCTGTGGTGAGGCTGCGCATTAGCCCCGCACTCGGGCACCATGTCTTTGGGCAGGGGAAAGCAACTCAGGCAGGAAGTCCAAGCCACCAATCAGAAGTAGTGGCTACAAATTCAACAGGAAAACCAAGGAGTCTTCCTGTGTGCGATCAACTGCAGGGGTGCTTACTTTAATAAACGCTTCGTACACATTGAGCATAGTGAGGTGATCGCCCTCCTCCACAGCAAACTTCCGGTGCACTCGAATCTGGAAAGAAAAAAAGCAATGTCTAGAAGCTGTCTCCTGTGAGACCTGTACCAGAAGTAGTACTGCGTGCTGAAGGGCACACGAGTTACCAACACGGGAAAACCTGGTGGGCACCAGCCTAGCTCCAACACATCCTGAAAGACCTCAACTTGGTTAGTTAACCCTTCTCAGCCTCAGCTTTCCTATCTGTAACACGGATAAATTAAACTTATCAACATTACCAGCAGGTTGCATAGTGGTTATGTCGCTGGACTCCCCCATAGTCGACGGTGGTTTGACTACCAGACCTATAAGCTTAAAACTCAGGTCAGGTGTGTGTGTATGCATGCCTAAGAGCCCGAGAGGAGAATGGGGAAAAGGGACTGCGGCGTGGCCATCCCCCTGGGGGGGAGATTTCTTGCTTTCTGTCTCTGTCTCCATCTCTCTGGCAAGTGCCTGCGCCCTATAGCAAAAAATCTCTAAAATAATAATAATAATAATAATTAAACCTATCAAGATTGCTGTAGGTTAAGATAATTCACCATAAAATACCTGGCCTGAAAATCTGATGAATGCTAATGTTCTTGTCGCTTTCCTTCCAGATTCAGTTGGTATCATCCTTCAAAGAACTCCCAGTCCCGGGACCAGCTGTTAGCATAATGGCTATGTCGCTGGACTCCCATGTAGTCGACCACGGTTCAAGTCCCGGACCTGGTAGCTTAAACTCACACCAGGCACGTGTGTGTGCATGCCCAAGATCCCGAGGGGAGAATGGAGGAGAAGGGATTGCAGTATGGCACTCTCCCCTGGGGGGTGATTTCTCGCTTTCTGTCTGTCTCTGTCTTTTGGTGAGCGTATGCACCCTATAGAAAAAAAACTCTTAAAAAATATATAAAAAATTAAAAAAAGAACTCCCAGTCCCAATCAGACTGAAGGTTCCAGGAGGGCAGGGGGCTGACCATCTATCCAGTGGTAGACACTCAATATGCCTAGCCTACCTCTAGCTGCACAATCCTTTCAGACTTCATCCATAAATTTTTCTTTCTGTTAAGAAAGGTCATAAAAATCATCTATTCCATGAGTTAAAGGAACAGAATATAAGGGGGTCTTCAAAAGTTCATGGAAAATTCACCTTATGAAGAAACTAACAAGGATTTCAAATTTTTTGCAACCAAAATAAACTCATACTTTAATTCTATTTTTCCATGAATTTTATGATGTTCCCATGTATACAAAATATATGTATACAAATATATTTATTAACTTCAGAATTTTATCCCTGAACCAAATTCCACATACTCAATCAGCCCGCCTTCCTTCCATTCATTGATTCACTAGCAAATATTTACCAATAGCCTACTACAGACCAGGCACTGTTCGAAGCCTTTGGGATAAAGTGAATAAAGCAGTTGTGGGAGAAAGACAGCAAACAAGTAAACAAAATACATACCCTATCGGGTAGTAAGAAGCATCAGAGGAGAACAATAATACTGGGATAGGGATGGGAAAGGTTGCAGTTTCAGACAGAATGGCCAGACCTTCAGTCCTCACATCTTTAAAGGAAGTTTGCCTGCCCTGAGGTTGGAATGGTAAAAAGGTTAATAACAAAACCAAGAAAATGAACATAAGCATCTGGCACTGGGGCAGGAAGACACTGTGATCTGCACATAACTATCACACAAGCACAGCAACCCACAGCAAGTTTCTCGCCTCCTTACCACACCTCCACAACACCCCTCCAGGTGCAGGGCTGCCGCTTCTGATCTTCAAATGGGAATGACATACCTCACCTCCATGAGACTCTTCAGTCCCTGAACAACTGTTCCTTCACGCTCTTTCCAATTTTCACTCTCTTAGCCTCCACTGATGCCCAGGCCTTAGGTGGCAGCCTAGGCATTTTTTTCTTTCTTTTTTTTTTTTTTTTTTAGCTACAGGGCATATGCACTTGCCAGAAAGACAAAGAGAGAGATAGAAAGCAAGAAATCACCCCCCAGGGGAGATGGCCATACCACAGTCCCGTCTCCTCCATTCGCCTCTTGGGATCTTGGGTACACATGCACACGTGCCCGGTGTGAGTTTAAGCCAGCGGGTCCAGGACTAGAACTGCGGCCAACTCCATAGGAATCCAGTGATATAGTCATTACACCAACTGATGGTCACCCTAGGCATTTCTTAACTCAAAATGCCCCACCTGTGACACCACTATGATTCAGCATGGTGCATGAGTCGGCCTGCTGTGCCCAGGCACCTGGCTCCACACGTTACTACTGTGCACACCAAGGTACCTACCGGAGCAATCGAGTGAAGTCTCCCTCGCAGGTAACTGAGGAGACGGTTACATGGGTGGCACTGTGGCTTGTGTCTGAGGCCCTGTGAAAGTCAACTCTGCCAGTTCTGGCTGTGCACTCATGAATGAGTTACCTAACGTTTCTGTCCTCCCATCATTAAACTATGATAACAGTATCTACCTTCCAGGTTTGTGGTCAAGAGAAAATGAAATAATATATGTAAAATGCGTGGCATAGGGGCTGGCAGGTGACATAGTGGTTAAGGTGCTGGATTCCCACATTGATAACCATAGTTTCAGTGGCTTGAAAATCCCAGACCCAGTGGCTTGAAAATCATGTCACAAATGTGCAGAAGAGTGCCCAAAGTCCCAAGAGGAAAATGGATGAAAAGGGACTGCGGCACAGCTACATCCCTAAGGAGTGATTTTTCTTTCTCAAGACTGAGTGCACGAGCCCTATGGCAAATAAATAAATAAACAAATAAATAAATAAATAAATAAGCGGCACAATGTCAGTCACACAGTGAACACTCAAAATGTGAGCAGGTGTCATTTACACAGCACTGTCTTCAGCAGTTCCTGGGTAGGGTTTTAACAAAGCCCTAAGTAAAAGACACTGATATGAACAGCTTGGGAAGAAAAGTGGACTTACTGCCTGAGACTTCTGATTGGAGGGGACCACAAAGATATTCTGGATCTGCATCATTGCTGCGATGCTAAGAATTTCCTGAGAACAGCCAAAATTTCCTATAAAACAAAAAGCGTGTTTGGTTTTAAACATACAGCGTGTCAGTCAACATTCTCTTCTGGTTTGAGGGAACAACAAAGCATTCTGGATCTACATCACTGCTACAACGCTGAGAATTCCCCGAGAACAGCTAACACCTCCTGTAAAACAAAACACACGTTTGATTTTAAATGTACGATGTGTCAGAATGTGTGAAAGACGTTTTCCGATAATCTCTTTGTATCACAATGTAAACTGAGATCACAATTTCTTTCCATTTTTTGAGTGTATGGGGGAAGTCTTCAAAAAGTTCGTGGAAAATGTACACTGTGGAAAAAACAAATCATGCCTGGATTTCAAAAGTTCTGCACCAAAACATACGTGTACTTAAATACCACTTTTCCACAAACTTTCTGAAGTTCCCTCACAGAGTATATAAACAGTTCTCTCTGCTAAATGGAATATCCTATATATGGCCAGATGAATGGTAGCCCTTCAAAGGACTCTGGAAGGAGCTGCTGCTCCACTCTGCAGCAGAAACACCGAGGGCTCTCATTACCAGCTGTGGTGAAACCACTATACTGAAGAGAGAGCTGCACTCCTATGTTCATTTCAGCACTATTCTCAACAGCCAGAATAAGGAAGCAACCTAAGTGCCCATCGATGGGTGAATAAAGAAAATGTGGGGGGAACCAGCAGTTAGCGTAATGGCTATGTCGCTGGACTCCCACGTAATCGACCACGGTTCACGTCCCGGACCCGGTGGCTTAAAACTCACGCCGGGCACGTGTGCGTGTGTGCCCAAGATCCCGAGAGGAGAATGGAAGAGAAGGGATTGCGGTGTGGCCATCCCCCCTGGGGGGTGATTTCTCGCTTTCTGTCTCTATGTCTCTCTAGCAAAACCCCCCTATAGCGAAAACCTCTCCAAAAAAAAAAAAAAAGAAAAGAAACTGTGGTATGCACACACAATGGAAGACTATACAGCTTTAAAAAGGAAGGAAACTCTGTCATTTGTGACAACATGGATTGAACTAGAGGACATTATGCTAAATAAAATAAACCAGGCACAAATACCGTCTCATTTACATGTGGAATCTGAAAGAGTTGTTCTCATAGAAACACAGTGGTTACCACAGGCTGGTGGACTGGGGTGAGGGGAGGACAGCAAGGGAGAGGAGGAAAAGAATGGGGAAAAGGGAGATGTTGGTTTGTTAGACTAGAGAAATAAGCTTTAGTGATCTACTGCACTAAATGGTGATGACCATAACGAGCCCTATGGCAAATAAATAAATAAACAAATAAATAAATAAATAAATAAGCGGCACAATGTCAGTCACACAGTGAACACTCAAAATGTGAGCAGGTGTCATTTACACAGCACTGTCTTCAGCAGTTCCTGGGTAGGGTTTTAACAAAGCCCTAAGTAAAAGACACTGATATGAACAGCTTGGGAAGAAAAGTGGACTTACTGCCTGAGACTTCTGATTGGAGGGGACCACAAAGATATTCTGGATCTGCATCATTGCTGCGATGCTAAGAATTTCCTGAGAACAGCCAAAATTTCCTATAAAACAAAAAGCGTGTTTGGTTTTAAACATACAGCGTGTCAGTCAACATTCTCTTCTGGTTTGAGGGAACAACAAAGCATTCTGGATCTACATCACTGCTACAACGCTGAGAATTCCCCGAGAACAGCTAACACCTCCTGTAAAACAAAACACACGTTTGATTTTAAATGTACGATGTGTCAGAATGTGTGAAAGACGTTTTCCGATAATCTCTTTGTATCACAATGTAAACTGAGATCACAATTTCTTTCCATTTTTTGAGTGTATGGGGGAAGTCTTCAAAAAGTTCGTGGAAAATGTACACTGTGGAAAAAACAAATCATGCCTGGATTTCAAAAGTTCTGCACCAAAACATACGTGTACTTAAATACCACTTTTCCACAAACTTTCTGAAGTTCCCTCACAGAGTATATAAACAGTTCTCTCTGCTAAATGGAATATCCTATATATGGCCAGATGAATGGTAGCCCTTCAAAGGACTCTGGAAGGAGCTGCTGCTCCACTCTGCAGCAGAAACACCGAGGGCTCTCATTACCAGCTGTGGTGAAACCACTATACTGAAGAGAGAGCTGCACTCCTATGTTCATTTCAGCACTATTCTCAACAGCCAGAATAAGGAAGCAACCTAAGTGCCCATCGATGGGTGAATAAAGAAAATGTGGGGGGAACCAGCAGTTAGCGTAATGGCTATGTCGCTGGACTCCCACGTAATCGACCACGGTTCACGTCCCGGACCCGGTGGCTTAAAACTCACGCCGGGCACGTGTGCGTGTGTGCCCAAGATCCCGAGAGGAGAATGGAAGAGAAGGGATTGCGGTGTGGCCATCCCCCCTGGGGGGTGATTTCTCGCTTTCTGTCTCTATGTCTCTCTCTGTCTGGTGAGCATACACGCCCTATAGCGAAAACCTCTCCAAAAAAAAAAAAAAGAAAAGAAACTGTGGTATGCACACACAATGGAAGACTATACAGCTTTAAAAAGGAAGGAAACTCTGTCATTTGTGACAACATGGATTGAACTAGAGGACATTATGCTAAATAAAATAAACCAGGCACAAATACTGTCTCATTTACATGTGGAATCTGAAAGAGTTGTTCTCATAGAAACACAGTGGTTACCACAGGCTGGTGGACTGGGGTGAGGGGAGGACAGCAAGGGAGAGGAGGAAAAGAATGGGGAAAAGGGAGATGTTGGTTTGTTAGACTAGAGAAATAAGCTTTAGTGATCTACTGCACTAAATGGTGATGACCATAGTTAACATGATAGATTATGTATTTCAAAATTGCTAAAAGAATAGATTTTTAATGTTCTCACTACAAATGATAAATTGATGAAGTGATAAGTATATTAATCAATTAGCTTAACTAAATCTTTCTACATTGTATATATAGATCAAAACATCACATTACACCCCACACTTATACACAATTATTTATTATTTGCCAATAAATAATTTGCTTCTAAAAGTTAAATAAAGAATTACCATATGGGGGCCAGCAAGTGGCATGGGGGTTAAGGGTGCCGGACTCCCACATGGGCACCATGGTTCAGGTCCCAGAACTGGCAGCTTACTTTCTTACTTTCTCTCTCTCTCTCTCTCTTTCTCTCTCTCCCCCACCCCCTGTCCCTCTCTGGTCAAAATAAAATAAATCAATAAATAAAGTTAAATAAAATAATTATTTAAAAAAAAAAAAAGAGTTACCATATGATCTACTCATTCTAAGTCTAGGTATATACCCCAAAGTGAAAACAGGGCCTTGAAGAAGGATTTCTGCACCCATGTTTACAGCAGCATTATTCACAATAATCCCTGGGTAGAAGCAATCCAAGTGTCCTCAACAGATTTATGGACAGACCACAAGTGAAAGTTTGTTCAGCCTTTGAAGAAAGGAAATTTCGGCACATGCTATAATAGGGATGAGTCTTAAAAACATTATACTAAGTGAAATAAGGACAAATACTGTCTGATTCCACATACATAAGCCTCCCTGAGTGGTCAAATGGATAGACACAGAAAGCAGAAGGGTGGTTACCAGGAGCGGTGAGGAGGAAAGAGGAGTTGGTGTTTAATGAGCAGAGTTTTGGTGGGAAAGAAAAAGTTCTAAAGATGGATGTTGCTGATGGCCGCACAATATTGGATGCATTTAATGTCACAGAACAAAGATGGTTAAATGGCAAAATTTTTTTAATGTGTGTGTTTAAAAAAAAAAAAAAAACACAGTTGGGTGGTTACCAGGAGCGGTGAGGAGGAAAGAGGAGTTGGTGTTTAATGAGCAGAGTTTTGGTGGGAAAGAAAAAGTTCTAAAGATGGATGTTGCTGATGGCCGCACAATATTGGATGCATTTAATGTCACAGAACAAAGATGGTTAAATGGCAAAATTTTTTTAATGTGTGTGTTAAAAAAAAAAAAAAAAACACAGTTGTACCCTCTTCCCTAGGGTACACAAAATTTAGAGAAACAACTCTCTAATGATCAAAATAAAATCAATGCGAGCTGTCAGGCCCTACCCACCTGATTCAAGAAGCATTTTGGCAAACATGGGATTCAAAGGAAACTCTGCTATTCTCATGCCGA